CAAATGACGTCAACCAACGTATAATAGTGTGCAAATACATTGAGATCGTTCGCTAGTGAGGTGAGAGGACAGTGTATGTTTGCTTCATGACCTGCTTGTGAGTTTTCGCGATGCAGATATGCACTTACTGAGAGCAAAAACAACGCAATATATTCCTAACATGAAAAGTGCACGTCCTTACTATGTTGGCACAAAGAAAAGCTACAAAGGATGACCACAAGCAGATGCACTCTGAGGTTATCTGTACCACTGTACCCAGGGGTGGGTTAGTAACGTGAACGCTGCTGATAGATAGCACACCTAGCACTCAACTGGCTGATAGTCACTAAAAGTGAAATGAACTGCTTATCGAAGCTGCAAAAACAAAGTGATTTTCAATCTTTGTACCTATTGGACGCCATTGATCTTCCCTGCAACGTTACCAAGTACTCACTTATTTCAATTAGGCTATCTCCTGTGTGAGCAAAAGTCGGCTTCTTGGGTATCTCGAATAACCACTGCCCAAACGCGGCAGTCAGTGGCAGGGCACCCACGGTTATCGAATTAGTGCTGTTTCCATGAACAGTCTGTTGACCCAGACATCCAGTATCGGACTTCATGGTGTCGATCCACATTTTTAGCTGACCACCTAAACAACGAAATAGCCATACTCAGAGTGAAACAGCTCTGATGATGTCTGCATGAGGGTATCCAAGGTATCCAAGCAGTCGAAGTCGACATTGTTGGATTAGCTGCTCAAATTGGGTGATGCCAAGGCATCGACGGTGGACTTATCGTTGCCAAGTCATTAATTGACCGCCTCTGGCTCTCTTCCGCCCTTCACGTAGTTGCGCGAAAAGAGCCCTTCGAGGAAGTCGGTCGACTGGCATACGCAGCACGTGGTCAAGCCAGCGCAACCTATGCAGTGTGATCAGTTCATCTGTCGAGGGTGAGTTATTTTCCCGAATATCATTCGACGTACTTCAGCATTGCTGATCCGGTGTTCCCACCAGATTCGGGCGATGTTCCGAAGGCATCGACGGTAAAACACTGAAAGTCTCTTGACGTCCTCGGCGCGCAGCGGCCACGCTTCTGATCCATAAAGTAATATGGAGCGTACCGCAGCAATGCAAACGCGATCCTTGACAGAGAAACTGATGCAACACCTACGCCACGGGTGACGCAGGTTCACAAAAGCTGCTCTAACCTTCCCAATCCGGATGGAAGTATCATCTTTCGCGAGACCACTGGGACTGATACAGGTAATACCACTCAGCGAGGATTGTCACAGTGGATCGTAACTTTGTCCTTAGCCTGGCCATTAGGAAAAATGGTTCAGATGACGTATCTGAGATAGCAAACATTCTCCAGGGTGAGTAAATGTTACGACCAATAAGTCGAGAGGAAACTTGCGTTAATTTGGGCCAAGTTCGGCGAATGACACTTCGAATTCACAACACTTCAGATGGGAGTCTTTCCTCAGTATCATTTAGAAATTTTGTTGGCCTGTGTGAGTTTGCACTATGGCAATAGGACTGAAAGGTAGAACATGAATTTTTTTCTGATTTGGCTTCTGACCTGACCTTGGTCCGATACCACTTCTGTTGATGATCCGTTTTCGCAAACAGCAGCACATGCTCGTATCATCTCGGCTTACCTAATACCGATCCCCAGCTCTTTGCTGTCTGTGGCATTCACACTAGAGCTCTTGAGGATCCTCGCATCCCTGGTCATCAGTCCCTGTGAGGTGAATTATATCCCCAACTCTGAATTTTTCACACACTGTGTTGTCGTATAAATCTACTAGTAAACACACACGTACCGAAGAGACAATTAGCCTATTAGGGTGTCAACGATATGGGAGTGATAGACAGCGGGAATGGTGAGTGTGTAGTTAGAGTGCAAAGGACATTGTAGCGTCTGTTCCCTTTGAAATTGTGTGTTAATGAATGGGTTTCGCTAAATACACCAACTCACAAACGGGGGACTCAACTAAATCCCAGCTGAATCTCTCGTTTATAAGTACAATTCAAGTGAATGTGGTACAAGAAGGTCGTCTCACGACTAGTTTGGCACGATATTCGAATGTTCATAGTTCTCTATGACGACCCTTGTCAATCCAATCCCAAATGGTTGAAGTGGCAATCGAATATCTCCAGCTAAATGTAACTGCCAAACATCAGATTTATAATAAAGACAACAGTTATTCATTCGAGTGATCTTAAAGAAGTATGTTTTCGTTCAAGAAAAGTCACTCGATATTGTGGACTCTAGGTGCCTACTTCAACAGACCTGTGCGAAGCTGTGCGAAGTTGAAAAATGGCGTAGCACAATGCAACATCACACCTATCAAAGCTGTCTAGATGACTCATAACATATGGTGGATACAGACAAGACACCTTACAGACCTTAGATATTTTGCTACAGTGCTCAAAACCAAAACTTCGGATTCAGTAGTTGCGCAGGGATTCATCCAAGATTATATGCGAATCACAAAATCACACAGAGAAATGCCGCTGAAGGAATACCGTACCATTTCATCGTCGGTAAGCGGTTGTACGTTGAAAATACCTTGTGAAATAATCTGATAGGCTTCTTTGTTAACAGCTCTGGATACACGATTTTTTTCGGCAATTTCGATAGGGGACTTGATACCTTATAGTCATTGTTTACCAACGATTCTTTCGGGATATGGAGGGTAGCGTTGAAACGAGACGAACTGCTCGTACATGCCAATCAGGAGAGCAATATTTTTTGCACTACTAATGAGTAGACAGAGGAGTGCGCCTGCGGGTGTGCGGCCAGCTCGTTCCATTACGTTGGGTGTTAGTACATAGAACGTCGGTAAAAATCCACATGTCGAAGTCAACCACAGCCTTTGGGTAAAGCAATAGCCTCGCACCACCCTGTCTGAAAAAACGCTGCCTTTCGGGACCATTCGTTCCACCTTTGACGAGGGGTATTGCATTCTTGAGAGGGGAACCCAAAAACAGCTCATTCAGGCGCGAGATGATTTTTCACTAGTCGGCCGAATAAGTGAATACCACAGCACATGAGACTTGGTCATGACTTGATTCTGAACAATGTCCCAGAAATTCGTCTCCGGGACAGCCTCCACAAAATTACCAGACACAGATCTTACATGTGATCCTTTTTGTGAAGAGAATCAACTTCGATATCTTGGATATCGGACAAACTGAATCGAGAAGTAGTCTTTGCACTGCACACTTGACTGAAAGACCACGCAAGTGGATGAGATTCGAATCACTCGTTCACGCCAACTGATGGGCAAACGAGTAATTTCACCAGATTTGGCTGAACTTTCTATGCGAGCTGTGCAAGGAATGCACTTTTACCAAGGCAATCTATCAGAGCAGCATACAGTTAACACATTCTGTTGATCAGCGGCACAATAGGTGAACGCCCCTACCTCTCACCCGAACACGGACTACTGGCAGCGTGTGAGGACTGCAGTGTTCATCAACTAAACGGTCAGTCACACTTGGCTCACAATCCAAACAACCGCACACACTACAGGCACAGGATGGGAAACACAAATATCTCTGATACACGCAAAGATGTAGGGTGATAGTTGACCGGTGGTGAGGGTTAAACCTCCCTTCTGTTACCGAATTGCTTACAGACACAAGTGTGGAGCATACTTCCTGCAAAGTACATTTTTTGTAAGCAAAGGTTAAACTGGGCTCGAGCACCCGGCCGAACTGCCTATCCCCAAATACACACGACCTAGGAGTAAAACGGTGAAAATGACCCCCCAAAACCAAGTAAACTGATGGTGACACACTCAATCGAAATCATTCAAGCACCACACTAAGAGCTAAGCAAGCCCCGCCTGCGTCAAAACGAACAGACTTCTGCTGGGCATGAGATATCATCAGAGTCTAGAGCCGGCAACCGAACAGCTGCAGTAGTTTGTCTGTTCCGTTAAACCCACGGACGAGTCGACTATAATCCTCCAGTGGCACGTTGCCTTGTTGGTCTCCCACGATTTTGCCTGAGCATTTGTAGACGAAATGTGGTAAATAGCTGCCTATTTACGGGCAAATGACGCGACTAATTCGGGTAACGATAAAGGGTACTTTATGTGAGACAGCAAGTGCGTTCTGGGAGAGTTTTTGGTTGTTGAGAATATTCTATGATGGAAATTTTTAGTTTTGTGAAATCGTTTGCATGTAATGAAGGCTGCTTATTATGGACAATCTGAGGGCACATCAGTCCCTTGTATTCCCGGGGTGCAGAACTGTTTTCATGGCTTAGCATTTTCTTTCGTGAAACGAACCTGAAAGGTTGTCTTCTTAAGATCAAATTCACATTGTTGAGGTGAAGTAGCCATGACTTCATCGCAGTGAGCCATAAACACACTGCCGACCGAACAAACAGCCTGAAAGCACTTTTCAACTCCCTTACCAATCCCACTGTGTTGCAGCCCTGATACCCAGATGCACAACTGGTGTGTCCGCAGAAATGAAATATTTGACGTGTTGTCTGCTTTTCAGCCTACTTTGATAGATACTTTTCTTATTGAGTCCCCGTGCTTTTTATCAGACATCTCGACGAAACTCTTACCCTCGGAATGGCCTAATGAAAATCGAAAGATGACTTGAAAAGAAGTCAGGATGTCCTGATGGCATGGCTTTATGACTCTACTCAGAATAGATCGAGTACGATAAATAGCGGAACGTCTTAACATTAAAAACATATTCCTTTACCTAGAAACACGACTCCTCTGGGTAGTATTTAGTGTTAGAACGGCCAAAGTCACGGTTTGGCCGAGCTATCCTCTGTGGTTAAGATATTCAGAACATCGATTAACAGAAACTGGTCAACTTCACAAAAACCCCATCAATTATAAACCTCAGCTGTGATTGAAAGGTTGGGGAGCAGACCGAGGGCATCAGCTGCCAAAAGATTACGGGTACAAAATAAACGGGCTTCAATGCAGCGAGTTACGGTAAATATGCCCAGGTTGGGAGATGCAGCTAACTAATCATTTTACTCACCTTTGCCTCAAAAAGGCGCTGTTGGCTTTCGAGTATTTTCTTCTGTTCGTCACCGCGCTTGACAATCGCCTCGATTTGATGAGGTGGTGGGTGGTAATACTTACAGCAAGAGTGCGTGCAGTTTTTTCTCTAAAATTGTACAAAAGATGATAAAATGACATTTCACGAAGTTTGGGAGAACTGAGTTGACAATAAAACAAATAGTTTGATCAAAGGGAAAAATTACCTTCAGAACTAACTTCGGTAGAGCCTGATAAACAATTTCACAGGCTTAACAGCAACTGCGTAATCGTCACCCTTTGTATCGAAAATCAAATATTGAGCGCGATTGGATTAAAATGTCCTGGATAGACACTGTGACAACTATTTCGGAGAAGCAGCTTTCTCAGACCAAAATAAAAAGTTGAAAACTGAGACACCGCCGCTCGTGATTCGAAATCGCACTCAAGTGATAAAGCATAAAGCAAGCTGCAACCTGTATTGCACGAGTAGCCGGAATGTCCCGCCAAAAGCTACTCAGTTTCTGCTCTACTGACTGATCAAATGGGGATCAGGCAATTCAACGTCAACCCTAGGCGTTGATGCCTTTAAATATCCTCCAGCCGACAGTAGTATTCTGAAAAATGCGACAACTAAGATGCTTAAGCAATACCATCGGTTCAATGTTCCCATCACAAAATAGCAGCTATGTGTTCACCATCGATTTTCCTGAGTGGTGTAGGTCAAAAGGAGGGCAGAAAGTGTAAACTTTTATAGGTAAGGATGTTGTTGCTACGACCCACCGTCCTGTTCACATGATCCTTCTTGGTTAATGAAGCTGTGAGATATGGCTATGAACCGGTGTCATTTCTGTCAGAGGCAGTTACCGCGAATGCTTCCATTTGGGTCTAAAATCCAACCTGAAGGACTAGGTGATGGCGTTGAATGAACTAAGCAATCCGTTAGAGCACCTTTGTAACCATTGATGAATCGATGGGTCGCGCAGGTAGAGTAGAGGTTACACCGAAATATGTTGGGTCTTGTTAAAAGTCCAGAACCGAATACACAGAGATGAAACTCACGGGAATATGAAGACAAACGAAGAGAAACCGCATGCTGACATTTGATGAATGTCTAAACGTGGTAATACTGGTTTTTCTTCAACAGGTTTAATGGGTTCCACAGCGTCTAAGGATTCTAGGATGATTTGTATGTTGCGCTATTCTGTGTACCTGGTTGTTGACAGACAAGGAAAACGATAACCAAAATCTGAGTAACTACACGAAATACACTTAGTTGTAAATTAAGTTGGTTTTAAAAGGATGATTTAACTGAATCCCAGCTGAATGATATATTCTTCAACTGAGATGGCTGTGGCTGCAGCGCGAATTTACTGACCGGAGGGTTCGTGGTTCGAACCCGACTTCTGCCTCTCGACTTCCCCTGTCTAGGCTTGGGCAACCCGGCAGTATCCCAGCCCTCGTTCTCCCTCAGAAAACTGAATCTACTGCACAAAGGCCGTCCCAAGTTTTACCTGGTACGTTGTTCGAAATGTCGGAGCATGTTTTTTAGACGGAAACAATAAATATAGATACCGAAAATTCTTCAACAGCCCACGACCGGTTTCGTCCTTCTTGGAGCTTATCAAGTAAGCAGAGTCTCCGGGTTTCCTTCAACCTTATGTCCTACCTGAACACAAATCGTACGCATTTCACGAAATACCGAGAGATTAGTTCATCCATTAGATGAATGGACCTTGTTTCCAATTTCGTCAGAATTGAACTGAACCCGATCAACAATCCTGGACGTCATGGGTCGACAGTGAATGGTGGAGAATTGGTTATCTTCACTAAGAGCTAAATGTTGAATATATCCCATCTCTTCTGCAGCGTCAGCTGAGCTAATGTGTATTAAGTACAAGAATCAACCCTATCGAAATGGAGAAGGGAAATGGGCGGAAGTTAAAAACCCAAGGAACATGTTCGAAAGTGCCCACTTCAACCGGACTGTTTCGTGTCAGAAAGTGTCAAGTGGAAGAACAGTAAAGCTGCTCGGTTAAAAAAGAGGAAGAAGAGTGTATACTGCGTCTAACAAACCTCGCATCCTTAGTGTAGCACAGTAGTGAGTGCGACCTCCTACGCGCTTTACGAAAATGCTCGACATCATGGCCGACAAAATCCGATCACTAAGCTGCGAACGAAAGTGTGAAATGCACTTATGGTTTTAGCTCAGTATTCCAACCGCCTTCGCATTGTATCACTGTAGGAGCATAAGTGAAATCAAGCTCATTACTGGTCCCACGCGAGCGATCGATCACCACATTTGAACGCAGTGGCACACAGTAATCGAACTGCAACACACTCATTTCTCCTAGACAAGCGTCAAGGTCAGGACTAATGTGGTCAAAACAAAGTATTCAAGGAAGATAACTAAACACCTGATAACAAGATATCTCCATGCGCCGACTAAACCCAGGGGAGGACGAGGAAAAGAATCACACATGCAACACTCAGACATTCCAAATCGAAACAAAAAGTGTCCTGGAAATGAACTCGCACACACCACGAACTACCAGCGAGAGTATGAAGGGAGATGTTACAATCCAACGCAACTGGAATATGCCATCAGGAGAAGAAGGATCACCAGCGCAGACCAACACAGACCAACAAATGTCTGATCCATCAAGATCGATAGTAGCTGACGCTTCAATACCAGGACGCCCACCTGCACCTTACGAACCCAGTTCGGTAGGAAATGACAGATCGAACAACGAAATGCAAAGGAGATCGAATAGCATGCAAGAACCTGGTTCTTCACGGCTTTCTCATCCGGATGAGGAAAGCTACGGCGTACCACAACATTCATTCAACCCTGCGCCAAGGATGATTCAGCAGTCGAGTAGTGGCAAATCTGGAAGCCAGAATGCTTTTAAAAGGCTCAGGAACATGGGGTCGATCGCGGAAGGCTCCGAAAGGTTGCCATCGTTACCACCACCAGGAGACTTAGGACAGTATGGCTATCCAACCACGCCGACAAAAAAGCCCGAAAAGCAGTATCCGGGTTACAAATCATACCAAGTAACACGCCTCATGTGCGGTTGCACAACGTTTATGACAATAGCACTGATGCTCTTCGCAATAGCCATGACCATCTTTGCGGTTGTGAAGAGTAAAGATTGTACACTGATAAGTTCAACGATAATGCTGTTGGCTGTTTTCTCGTTGGTCATTGTGATCCTTGAGTGGATACGCTTATGGCTGTGGAGAGAACCTACTCCTCTAAGCTTACGGAGAACAAAGCACAATCTCAGAGCTGAAGCCACCCTAGGTCCAGTGCACGCTGGAGGCGGGCTACCCATGATATCCAACACGCCAGGACCCATGGCAAATCCGACATACTCAGGTGTTGGTGATAATCCAAACGGCGGATTCCTATCTTTGGGTTTTCAAAATCGGTTGTATGACGTGAACCAATTTATATCCGGTCTGTGTCTGGTACTGTTGTACATTATCGGAGCCATCCTCATATGTGTGAATATGGCCGTTTGTGGTGTCGAACTTGGAAAAAAGGAAAAAGATTCAAACGAAGCTAAGTGTACTGAGTTAGCGATATGCGGTATCGCTTTCGCCGCATGTATGTCCATCTTACTTGGACTGCGGTTTGTAATGTGTTGTCTAAGTGACGCCTGTCAAGGACTGTTCCGTCGAACATTTGCGACCAACAGGGAACCACCAGTTCCAATAGTCGCAATCAATCAGTTACACCAGGTGCTACCAGGAATGGGAAACTATTGGCACACGAGCGGGGAACCAAGAGAAGGAGGTTACCAGCCAACCACTTGGTTGGTCAATCTTTCCGGTGGAATAGATCCACGACACCAATTGAGTATGATAAAACCAATGCCAGCACGTTATGCTAATGATTTGACACATTAATGTGTGCTATGAAGAACAATAACAAAAGATATTTTGTTGAGGGGAACCACTTCCTTTCGAGCATCGTGCCCAGTGGCTGATACTGTATTAGTGTGACAAATACATGAAAACTGTGAGTGAGTATATTTACGAGTCTTGTGCATAAATCAAGGAGTTACATTACAACTACAAGTTGACGTTTATAACTGTGTTGCATGATGAGGTTGAAATATGAATACTGGGCGCTTGTGGACAGCATCAACTCAAGGTTTGGTGATATACTGATCGGGCCTCACGAGCCGTAAGCAATCCTTTGTGCTGTCAGTTTCAATCCAGTATTTCTGAGAGGCCAGTTGGAGATAAAAACCGCCTCAAACCATCTTCGGAAACCCAGCGTCAGGTTTCTGTTCACTTTTCTACCAGCTCTAGGTATCTTTCAAATACACCTTTTGTGGTTGTACGTTAGTGAAGGACAAATGCTAATAATGATAAAGATGACGATGGCCAAGGAGACGACTTTGACCATCAACACCCCAGGACCCCAGGTGAACACAACGAATTCACATTGGTAGATGCAAAACGAACATTTGGTTACACAGCAGAGAGTTAACGGTAGGCATCTGGCTGTAGGGGCAGCTAAGCGATAGAGGTAACGGTTTCGATTTCGTCTTTTCTGTAGCGGCTTTATTGTGTTTTGCGCATTTGTGTTTTCCGCGTTTAGTAAGGAGTGACACAGACGGAGGAACTTGGAAACTCTGGCTTGATAGGAGGGATCCGAACAACTAAGGAGGGTTAGAGTGCCGCTGGTGAGATCCATTGTCGAAAATCAGCTTCACCTCATTCTCTCCCCAAAAGAAAACATTAAAAACAATGCTTCTGACATCCTTATCAGCTTCTGTACAAATTTTCCGAAGAGCAGAACGCATTTAGTATGGTGCGCCCAAACTTCTGTAGCACTTCAAGAAATAGCAATACTGGTAATGGCGACAGTATGATAAGCGGTAAAGCTGAATACGCCCTTTTCGAAGACCTGTTCGCCGATCACCTCCAGTGTTAACAGAGGCAACAACACCAAGGTACAGTAGGTGGATGAGTAGAGTCAAACATCAGAGTACGGCTCCCACACGGTATATACTCGAAGTCCCTCCTTGAGGCTGCCACTGCTACTGATGACAGTGAATGGAATACATAGTTTTTATATTCCTTCATGATTTCCACCTTCAAATCATTAATCGTGCGAAAGCTTAAGTGAATTTCACGCATCCTTCTCGCAACGATTCCTCATGGGCTTTGCTGTGGCTCAAATCCGGACTACAAGTCGACCCAGCCAATTAATGGAAATCAAAGTACAATAACCCTGATTTTTGTGTGGCGCGGTGCGTTCGGAAACACTGACGTAGCAAAAAAGTAAATCCTCATTTGAACTATCGGAAATGACCGGGAGGAATTTATTACATAAATCTGTTGTCTGCTTTCCATCTGGTAACGACAGTGACTCCCTGGAGTAGTTCAACCGCTGGAAATTCCTTTATAGATTCCTGAGGTCATGCTGTTAGTACACTAAACCATCTGAGGTGCCCAGACCAAACTTCCCACTAGTGAATATCATACACTCCGGAAAGCTCGAGATAGTTCAGTAATTAGGGCACGAAATAGCTGACCGGAAGGTTTCTTGTCCGAACCCAACTGCTCCTGTATGGATTTGGGTACCTTGGTGGTATCTCAGTTCTCGAGCATTTCCCTTCGGATGATGTGGCATTTAGGCACCGAAAGAATGTTAATGCTGAACAAACCGACTACACATTCTCATTAGTGCCTTCAAACGAAATGATCTTCTCCCCAGTTCAGTCTCTTCTGTATGTGGGTTACAGTCGAAAATAAAACCTTCAGCCACATGTACTTCGAACAACGGGTGGAGGAAGTAGTCTTTGAAGTCACCTACCACTTAAATTCAGAGTGAGAGCAGCTTTTGTATTTGATGCCCTTGCAGCCCGATTAGCTGTGACCCGCAGGATTTGTCACCCTACTCTCTGTTGTCTTTATTCCTCCTGATCTGACGTATCCTGATCGATTAGCAAGAAAGGCATTACCAACCTATTTCGACTTAACACGCTCCTCATTACCGTCCATCAGTACGTAAACAGTCTGTCTTGTTCAGGCTCCGACAGTCATGAACCGCAGATCATTACCTTGAACCTTACATTCTCAGATGCAAACAACCTATGGATCAGCTCACCACAAGGGTGTGGATTGCTAGTGAATATCGTTTACAATGGAGTACAAAACGGGCATGATTGTGAAGCCCGAAAATTACCACTCACTCACACCTTGGTAGCTATTGAGTCTGTAGATTGTCTTGGTTTGTTTGGACGTGACAGCGTTTCACATACTCAGCTTGCTGGCTAATACTTCTACATGTTTGCGCACTTAATCCTAACAGTTCACATACATTCAGTACCCATCTGAGTCCGGGTAGACCGACCTGAAGTTAGACAGTCCTCATTTGATAGAGGAGTATACATAAAAACAAAGGGTGTCCGTAACAGAAATGCGTTGGCTATACCGAAATCACCTATCAATAGGAGCTATGGGAAACAGAAGTTAACCATCAGATTTCTCGCCAGGAGTGGGTTTCACGGAACTGGCACCAGTAGGTACCACTTATACATTAATCAAAGATGTACCCTTAATAACTGAATAAGCGGAAGAATATGCGAGTCCATAACAATTAGAATGAAAGTTCCAGGAACAATATGGTCTTGTCGCCTGTTAAGACAGGTTAATCCGGTTTTATGGCAGATAGACTTTGAAAGGGTGCCGCGACGTCAGTCGTTGGATAGGATGCTAGAATATCTCCAACCGATCTGACCAGTCAACCTTGGTAGATAGTTTGTTCATGGTCTTTACGCAAACTCAGCTTACCTTGATGAAGTCGTAGCAGACGGTAACATGTCCAGCCTCAATCCTAACATTGGATGAAGGGTGTGCGTAAGGGCAGGTCTCAGAATATAGAGGACACTGAATTGGTCGGACAGCGGAGGGGTCTTTCGAATCAGCAGAAATCCCACCAGTCGAAGTCCCATGGACAGTGGGTGAAGTAGTGGTGACAGCTACTTGCTGGTCGGACGTCGGGTCCGATAGGATAGGGGGTGCCTGCGGAGCCCAGGAAGGACACACACGAAGCTTTAACCACAACGAGCACCGCGAGGTAGAGTTCAACTGCTGCCCTAACGGAGAGGGAAGAAGCTGACAAGGCGTGCTTGTGTTCCCGTTGGGTAGAGAACAAACACGAGGAGCGGAATGTAATGAAACTAAAGACGAGGATAGTGAGGAAGAACCCGAAAGACTGTTGGTCCCATCTAAGCTGCCCACGACAAGACTTGGCGAGAATCCGTGGAATCCATTTGATAGTGATTGTGGAATGTTCCCCAAACTCGCTCGTGATTGGAGCGTCTGAAGGGGTAATACATGCTGGAGAAATGCTGGGATGTTGGGTTGTAATGCTTTCTGATCTGCATACGGATGACCAGGTCCATCCAGAGAAGCTGCAGATGGTGGTCGGTATGGGGGTTGAGAGGATCCAGTTAACGGTGAGTGTCTGAAATTGAGAACAAAGAGACTGTCGACAACATTCAACAAGTATAAGCTAACATAACAATCAAGAGAGTGATGCTACAGGTGCGGCTTGATTCCCAGTTGCTACGAAAGATTCCTAACCAGTGGGTACCTGTTATATCTAACTGCTGTTCCCACTCCACTGTTAGGTGCCAGAAAGCGCACTTTCTGACATTGATCCAGGCTGTCTGATAGGCGTTTAGTGAACACCCACGGACATCGATCGTGCTTCTATGAAATGCCTGAACGCAGATCACATTCGGTCGTGCTTCTGTGGCGTGCATGGACACTCATCAGCTTTTGCTGAATTGACTGAATGATTGACTGGCCTGGATGCTTGCCGGCTTTCCTGTTGAGATTTTGGTGAAGTTTTAGGGTCTCAGTAGATTCTGGGCGTTCTGGGGTTACTTTGAGGAATCTGACTTTCCTGACACAGTTCTTCCGACGAGCCGATCTCCGTTAAAATACATCGCAAATGGAAATGAAGAATGAAGAACACGAATCTGAACTGATTTAATGTAGTAAAACACTTCGATAGTTTCGAATGCATTAGCAGATCTCTTTTAAACATCGAAAGACTGGTTTAACCCGCTAGAGGATCAAACAAGGCAAGTTTTGTTTGACCGGACAGTAAACGAGTGCGTCCAGGATGTGCTTTTAGGACACAACTACTGCTAATAACTACGTAACGACGGTTCGTTGAAGAGCCGAAGACGCGCAGGTTATCCTTAGGAGTTGGTGTCCACCAGAGAACGCTGGTCCAAAGGAGGACTAATCACCACTCACAGTAAGACTGGTATTCACTCTTCAGCCTTCCGTATACAGTATGCCAACAAAATTTATCTATTGAATATTCTGAGTTTAATAAAGCGCACAATTTCGCTAGCGACCGTTTCCAATCGCGTATCACCGGGTTAATACGTTCAGCTCTAACACCATTCGGGTGCCTAGCTGCCATGCCACCCGAAGGAGGCACGAAGACTGGGATACTGCCAGGTTGCCCAAGCCTAGACAGGGGAAGTCGAGAGGCAGAGGTCGGATTCGAAACACGGACTTTCCGGTCAGTGAATTCACGCTCTAACCAATTGAGTCATCTCGCCCGCAGGTTAATACGGCGATGAAATAGAAAACCAACAACGTTGTATGGCACTTTAATCTAGTTTTCCATATTATCGCCATATTCCCGATGAGATGTGATTGAAAATGATCGTTCACGAACTTATATTCCAGTTACCATCTAAACACAGTCGTATGTGCATGAAAAAAGATAACGGAGAGCAAATATTTGGCAAACACATAAAGTGCAGTGTGGTACTACAGCAGGCGGCGAGACCTAGCAGACACCAAAAACACACCACACACGCCCTACTAATGACCACTACGTGGGTGGGGAGTCCACCTATAGTTAAACCGACCTGCCAATCAATTGCTTGGCTAGTTGCAATAAACAACTAATTCAGATAGTTTCTTCCACAAAACTACATCCTCGGTCATAGACAAAGGTATTTCGGCCGCAACTCGGGATTGGGAGAGTCAAAAAAATTGCGGAGGCTCAGAAAGTGGTAAGCCTAAGAAATGGACCGAAGTATTTTGGAAAACCCAGAATAAAAGATGAAACAATCCCAATCAAATAGGATGAGGAGCGGGATGAATATCTTATTAGTAACCCGAACCACAAAGGTGAATGGATTCGTTTCGAGTATTTCCTGAACGTCCACTACGACTTCCTTCACAAGTATACTGCGATATGACACATCAGCCGACTTTCAAAGCCTTGAGTATTGTGTCAAGCAGAATCTGAACAGTTTGTATATATCTTCCTTACTTGTGAACATAACGAAAACCAGGGGGAAAGAAAGGCCCATATAAAGTTTCCTGTAGATACGGTTACCGAAGATTTCTAATTGGGATGTCCCTAAGAAAATGCAGCTCAACCAAACCAACAAACCTCCAAATCAAGATTTAGGGATGACGCCACCGTACATCAAGAACAATATCGAAACGATCGAGAGAATGGTACGACAACATGAGATCGCAGTGGTCCATAGACCCAAGAATATACTATGGCAAGCACTACCACAACCAAGAGTAAAACTAGATACAATGGAGAGGACGAATGTCATTTACGGATTTCAATGGAAGGATTGTGACAAGCACCACGTGGAACAACAAATATAAACTTGCCAATTTATTCTATTCTTATTGGGTAAAAAGGGATTTCCTTTTCTGTCGATTCCGTTTTACGCCTTTATTCCCTATTCGTGTTCTTGACATGAATGTCAACCACTTTTTGACCTTCATTAACACGTATGCCGATTTTTGACCTTGACACTGACACCCAGTTCATTTCTGCTATATGTGCTTCGTCACCTACTGAAATTCTTGTCTTGATTAGATGTGAGCTTCGGGTAAGCGTATTGTTTCAGGATCAGCTTTGGAATCCGTGTTAAATAACGCTGGTGTACAAAAGCCAGCATGGAGCCACCAAGACTTAAGGTTTGTACGTACCCAGAGTGCCACATTGTTGACAAACCTCCATTTGACTTTGCGCTTATATCAAAGTGGCCCACCTGATTTCTGGACGGAACCAATACTAGAAGGATACGATCGCTTCTCATTCATCTCCATGCAAGAAGAGAGGAAGAACATGACTCCAATTGAAGCAATGTTCATATACTAAGCCACGTAAGAACCCAAGGGACGAGAGTTTAAGGAGGCTTAGGACTCCACTGATTAGGCTGTCATCCCTGTCTGCCTGCTGCGTACAGCAGGGTGGGTAGGCGAAAACATCCTACTGCAGACGCCTCCTTTTTATTATTTTACCTATTCCCTCTCCTACCCTACTAAAGTCAAACAATAAGAAAAGAAACTCAGAACCATCAAACCGTAAGCCGTATGAGAAATCAAAGAAACCTTAGTAAGAACGGAATTTAAAGGGGAAATCAATTTGACCAACATATACAACTCCCGACAAGCAGAACAAGGAACCAAACAGGCCAAAGAGTGGGAATTATTCACAGAGCTGTGTACATCGGCTAATCAGACGCAGGCAAAAAACCGCAAGCTGTGGGAAAACCAATCAAGGTACAGAAGAAGAACTAATAAGGACAGGAAGTAGACAACTAAAAAATCAGACAATGGTAAGGTAGACTATACCACAGACTAATCAAACTACGCGTAACATTAATTTGAACCAACTACGTTGGATATGTATCATATTCTTCAAGAATTATGTAGATGAAAGAGGTAAAATACGAAATATCCACAAAACCTCGACTGGTACCGAAACAGCTGCAAGTCAGTTACCAAACTCGGCGAAGAAAACAATCAACAAACGCACTGGAGCTACCAGTATTCCGACACATCGTCGGTAAGCAAAATTTCCGCTGAATATTGATAGATTTGTCGTGATAATGGATAGTATATGTGTTCGTCAGGGAGGACGCCGGAAAGTAAACAGAGCAATATGGATAACGGAGTTTGAGTAGTTTGATGGTGCCTGCACTGAATGAAGGGTGTCAAGTCCAGGCAAATCCCTCAGAAAAGCCTGTCTACCAACAATATCGGAAACCCACTGCGAGTGGTGGGGGCAGCATGGGAATAATTTGAAAAAGAAATCCAATTCAGAGGAAATCAGCACTTCGAAGCTCTCAATTTCGAAGTCCCAATGATTTTGTTACGAAGCCACCTGTGTGAGCAGGTGACCAGTGGAAGTGCACAGAGGGTTGGGGGACATTAGGTGTCACAACCACAAAACCAACACAATATAGATGTTAGGAATATCAACCAAAACGTCAACATTATTGTGTGTGGTAGAAGCGCTCCGTACATCAAGGGATTCCAGTGACCCATTGCTGTCATCCTCTAGGTAGCAGACTAGGTAGAAAGCGCCAACGTCAAACTACTCATGAGTAGGTGAAATCCACTCTATTGAACAGCCCGAAGTATCGAACAGGCACACGAAGACAGGTCATGCGACGACGATACAGGATTTCCCAGGTTGTTTTCACTCATGCAGTCTGCAGCCTGGCATTTCCTCCAATGAAAAGTCCACAGACGACCCTGTATATCACCTACCGCCTCCAGTGCGCAGATCCCTATCCCATTTCCCCAAATCATCGGTGAGCGAAACTGTGGCAGCCTAACCACTGTATGGAAGGTACGCGGTTCCTAAGACTGATAAACTAAAGTAATAGTTACTTCACACACGGGTTCTGAAAACAATTATCACCTTATGATTGAATCATATCCCTTGTTGCGTAATTGCCTACACGGCACACTTTGTAGTCAACAAAGTTTATGGAAGCCTATCGACTAAAACGTAGCCTGTGGGTTACTTCGCAAATGAGTGTATAAGTCAACTTGGTGTTCAAGAAGGAAATAAGACTGATGGGAAATATGGGGCCATGTATATCGGAGAGGTCTCATGAATAAAGCCTGTATGTATGTTGTATCGATGAAATAAGACTGATGGGAAATATGGGGCCATGTATATCGGAGAGGTCTCATGAATAAAGCCTGTATGTATGTATGTATCGATGATCCGTGGCCAAAAGCTGAATCCTAACTAGGGTGGCTTTAAGATGAAGCCCAAATAAATCACTAATTTATGATATTCTCTAACCGACGTGCAGCTCAAGGTAAATTGAGACTCCTATTACAAATACTTGAGGATTCATCTCTGGCGCAAAATTTGCAATATGCGGTCAATTCTGATCACATACACTTTGACATTTGACGTGAAGCCGCATGGAGCACCTAAGTCAAAGACCAATTGGCGACTTAAGTTGGATTTCACAGAACTTTTAGACTAACTTTGTAAAAACAAATACCGAATGGAGGAAAATGGTAGGAAACCAACGCTGCCAAGCATTTTGGGACACACATTCGTCTCCAGCATGCAATTGCATCATTGAAGAACCCTCAGGCTCAGAAACGGGAACAAAGATGGAATGGATCTCTACCCGACCACTTGCAGGCACTTGTTCAGTCCAACGGGGAGGCTGTGCACTTTTAAAGCACCAACGCTTTTTGGCGCCGAAATGACGTAAACGGGTCTCGGTTGTTAGACAATTTTATCACGCTAACAGTCACACATACATATGACAGCTACGTTGTATTAGACCCTGGTGAGTGCCATAATTCTAGTTCGCTTGAATGAGATATGGTTGTGCCACTGAGCAGAATGTTGGTAGCTCAGGTGGCACAACCACCGACTCACCATGGCGCTCCCTAACAACTTACTCATGACGTCACCTCGATAGATGATGAAAAGTTTGCAATCAAATTGCCCAGCCAAAAGCACAAACCAACGAACAGATGTGGATACGGTGAGTGGGGTTGGTAGAATACGTTCATGTGATGAATACTGGATTCCAGTACACAAATTGTGTGTTCAGAGAACCTACCAAAGCATATGAAGGCGAAGTTAAAAACCAGAAACATGGATTAATCGTAAATTGCAGTTTCAAAGATCGTCGTCGCACAACTTCACAACCGAAGTTCATACTTCGTGACATTTATGGGGTAACTTAATGTATGCAAATATATAAATAACTAGGAATGCTTTTTGGCCTCCTTTACATCCTCTGGTATTTTAGTCGAACAGATGTTATTCGTCAATATACTCACGTGTACCACTTCACCTAGCAGCTTTTGACAGTCACGACAACCTTAGCAGTTAAATAGGTTACAAACCATACACACAATCCACAAAGACGAATGGGATGACGGATGCACACAAACGCGGTCTCCAACATGCACCGTGCGTGGATTTCACATTGGCAGAGCCACCGTCAATCTACATTCAGAGTTTGACGATGCTATGTAAACGCAACTGTTGACCGAATAAAAGAAATTCGCCACATTTTCCGCCACAAGATACAACTGAGTTTGTTGTGTTTTGCTGATAATCTCATTACACTGACACGAAAACTCGCGGGGATTTGTAGGTGCGATCCAATTCCAGCCGAGACNGAGCACCTAAGTCAAAGACCAATTGGCGACTTAAGTTGGATTTCACAGAACTTTTAGACTAACTTTGTAAAAACAAATACCGAATGGAGGAAAATGGTAGGAAACCAACGCTGCCAAGCATTTTGGGACACACATTCGTCTCCAGCATGCAATCGCATCATTGAAGAACCCTCAGGCTCAGAAACGGGAACAAAGATGGAATGGATCTCTACCCGACCACTTGCAGGCACTTGTTCAGTCCAACGGGGAGGCTGTGCACTTTTAAAGCACCAACGCTTTTTGGCGCCGAAATGACGTAAACGGGTCTCGGTTGTTAGACAATTTTATCACGCTAACAGTCACACATACATATGACAGCTACGTTGTATTAGACCCTGGTGAGTGCCATAATTCTAGTTCGCTTGAATGAGATATGGTTGTGCCACTGAGCAGAATGTTGGTAGCTCAGGTGGCACAACCACCGACTCACCATGGCGCTCCCTAACAACTTACTCATGACGTCACCTCGATAGATGATGAAAAGTTTGCAATCAAATTGCCCAGCCAAAAGCACAAACCAACGAACAGATGTGGATACGGTGAGTGGGGTTGGTAGAATACGTTCATGTGATGAATACTGGATTCCAGTACACAAATTGTGTGTTCAGAGAACCTACCAAAGCATATGAAGGCGAAGTTAAAAACCAGAAACATGGATTAATCGTAAATTGCAGTTTCAAAGATCGTCGTCGCACAACTTCACAACCGAAGTTCATACTTCGTGACATTTATGGGGTAACTTAATGTATGCAAATATATAAATAACTAGGAATGCTTTTTGGCCTCCTTTACATCCTCTGGTATTTTAGTCGAACAGATGTTATTCGTCAATATACTCACGTGTACCACTTCACCTAGCAGCTTTTGACAGTCACGACAAACCTTAGCAGTAAATAGGTTACAAACCATACACACAATCCACAAAGACGAATGGGATGACGGATGCACACAAACGCGGTCTCCAACATGCACCGTGCGTGGATTTCACATTGGCAGAGCCACCGTCAATCTACATTCAGAGTTTGACGATGCTATGTAAACGCAACTGTTGACCGAATAAAAGAAATTCGCCACATTTTCCGCCACAAGATACAACTGAGTTTGTTGTGTTTTGCTGATAATCTCATTACACTGACACGAAAACTCGCGGGGATTTGTAGGTGCGATCCAATTCCAGCCGAGACCACTACCAACCTTGTAACTTGGCCTGACGAAGTTTTTGTGTCAAGAGCGAAACGTGGCCCAGCAACAAATCTACCGATTGTTACCAAACTTTTCCGGAAACACCAGATACTGTTTGTCTACCGAAAGATATATAAACCTGATCCCTCTTACGTGCCGCTAAACTAGGTCAGTCGTATAAGGGTAGCAAATTTTGTTGTTGTTCGCTTGCTACTATGTTAAGTGTAACAAAGATGCCCGCATTTTTCCTGGCCTGACACTACTGACATTGTTGATGAAAACTCCCGGGTCTCATAAGTTGTGTCATATCAAGGAAAATACTCCAGTAACTTGATTATTGTTCTAACTGAAAAGTGGTCACACTCTCGTGAGGCAAATTCACTTAGGAATATTAGAAGACCAGCTATTCAGATGAGTCCGAGTTATACTGAGTGCGTAGGTGTTCGAGTGTTCGTATTTTGTTTGTGATAAAGTTTGTAGCAATCTTCCATTTGATCAATAAGCGAGTTAATATTCTTCGATCAGGGATATCTTGCTTCAGGAGTTGGTTTAAGAGCGATGGAGATGGGCCGTTGTTTCGGCGAGGGCACCTTATTTGTTGCCCAAATATCGAATTGAAAGTATACATGACATGAAAGCAACGGTTTAACGATTCTACGGGACCAAAAGCATTACATCCCAAAGTGTGCATAAAGAAACAATTACCTAATTTCTATACACGCGATAAACATAACCTCTGCCTTCTTTGGGGAATGTTCCTTCTGGAAGGGGTCTATCTACATAAATCTAATAAGACAGAATATTTCCCTAACGTAATGCACTCATTTGCATACCGATTTGGCTTTCACGGGAGACTCACCTGGAACCCAGCTGAATCTCTCGTTATTGATGTCTTTGAGCAAATTGGTATGCAAGTGGGTGTATTTCACTAAACGGCGTACAAGTTTACGATTGGCCACTTTCATCTGTTGGTTATAAATTGTAAGAGAAGTCTCTAATTAGTGTGCAAATGGGAGTGCTAATCGAAATCTGTCTAATTTGTGTTTAAGTACAGTATGAGGTTGACGGAAACTCGGAGGACTGCGTTTACCTGATGAATCTCAAGAAGGGCGAAACCGGTGGTGGGCTGTCCACAAGCTTTCAGCAACCTTAAGGTAGCCTATTAAGAACATTTCCCTGTTGTGGAGCTTCTGTTTGAAGTGCCGCAGTATGGAAACTCAAGGGACTAATGATCCCATACCTGTCCGTGTGAAATAGAAAGTCTCCGAATAGTAGTTACCGCTAACAGGCAAACGCGGCTAATAACTGAATAAAAGATGTTCTTGTGACGAAACTCGTACTCATTTGGACTCTGTCTATCCCACAGTCTCATGTAGATCGAGCTTAGGTGACTTTTTCAACACATCATCTGTTTGCAACATATACAGCACAGGACAAATAAAATCAAACTGTAGTCGAGTTCAGCCCGAATAAAAATCCATACTGGAGAGTCATAATGTTTGTCGAAAGTTACGCGGAGTCAGGAAGCTATGTGGGGGCAGAATTCGACTACCTGGTTGCGTGAACACTGTACAAATCTGTCTGCTAATGCATATACGAAGGGTTTCGGCGGTGTCATCCATTCTCGATCTAAACACTTTGGACATCTGTTATGTAGCTTCATATACACGCATCAAAGCTGTTTGGTTGAAGCAGAACCATCTACGGCACGCCGTTGTCCGCTGGGAGAGCTCGCCAGAATGTGTTAAGACGTTCGCACGATAAGCTACCTCGTTGCATAACCAACATATCTGTCCCCTTGGCTGAAAAGCCGAGCCACAAGACAGCGGTGGTCGACCATCACAAGAGCCTACGTTTCTAGGGAGCAAGTTGCCACAGATGTTCCAACCCCCAACCTAAAAGACCAGAAGGCTGTGTTAGCCGG